CACACACACATGCACACGCACACACACAGACGCACACACACACAGACGCACACACACACACAGGTGCAAGCAGCTGCTAACATTTTAGGGTTTTTAGCTTAAAATGCAGCATTTGCAACAGAAATGTTGCCTTTTTAACATCCATTCAGTTTTTTTTCAAATACCTGATTTATTTCCTGGTTTGAAGGAGCAGCTTCGTGGTTTTAAGTCTTGATCGTTTCATAAAAGCTTCATTTATGAGATGAAACGGGCCACTGGTCTAAAATCAGCTCCTCTTGGGGAACGTTTGGTGGTCAGATGAGATAAAAACTGAGTTCTTTGGTCACAGTGACAAAATGAATGTTTGGAGAAAAATCATCATAAATCCAGAGTCTGAAGAAATCAAGCAGCTGAAATGTTTTGGTAACAAACTTTATTCAGGTAAAAATAAATGTGAAACTGTTTTGTTAAAATGATCAACAATCAGATTTTTTCTTCACTTTTAATAAAACCAACATTGAAGATTTAAAATAATTCAAACAAAAGACAGAAAACAGCAACAGCAACATCATCAGCGTAGAAGGAAACTGTCAGACGTCAGAGATTCATCCTGAACCCAGAAACAAACGTTGATGGAGAAAAACTTCAAGTTATTTTGTTTTTTATGTCACAGCTTGAAATTGAGCAGAACCTTCTAGAAACCAGAGGAAACAGTCCAGATAGAAACGCGTGATTAGACGTAAGCTTTGGTGGATTCTGTGTCGGTCCGGGCCGTGGCCGTGTAAACCTTCGCCGGGTAACCTCTGCAAAACGAAACGGGCCGAGTCAGAGAAGAGCGCAGCGTTCAGAGCGGTTTGCAAATTATTTAAATCAGCTGCAGCATCATGACGTAAATACGATCTGAGAAACATGAGACGGCTCAGAAGTGTCTGCATTTACCTGTTCTTGCCAGCAGGTGACGCTCTCTTGCAGGCGCTGCAGAGGAGACTTCCACCCAGGATGCAGAGGGAGCCTGCGGCCCAACCCATGTAGAGGCCGGCACCGAGCTCGAACCTGCAGGAGCAGGGGCAGCGGTCAGGCAGTTCAGGACCAGATCAGGTCCGGTTCAGACCCGGTTCAGG